CACCTGAACAATGAGCCAATGTTCATATGAAAAAATTCCACTCTTCATTTATAATAAGAAATGCAAAATAGTGTCAAATAAGTTGGCAGTACACATCCATTAGATGGGCAAAAATTAAAATATCAGACAACCCTAATCAATGCGGCTCAGTTGGCTGGGCGTCCTTCCTCAAAGTGAAAGGTCACTGGTTTGATTCTCAGTTAGGGTACGGTCCCTGGGTGGGGCATGTACCAGAGGCAATCAGTCAATGTTTCTCTCTTACATAGACGTTTCTTTCCTTCTCTTTCTCCCTCCCTCCCCCTCTCTCTAAAAATATATAAGTAAAATCTTTTTAAAAAGTCAGACGATTCAAGTGTTGGTGAGGATGTGGAGCAACAAGAACTTTTATATGTTATTTTTGTTGGTAATATACATTGGTACAGTCATTTTGAGAAAGTCTGGCATGGTCTTGTAGAACTGAAGGTAAACATGTCCTTTGAACCAGCAATTCCATCCCAAGGTAAAGATTCCATAAAAATCTGTGTTTATGTGCTCCAACATACAAACATATATGCAAAACAGCATTGTTTATAATAGTCCACAGCTTGAAGTAGCCTATATGTCCATCAATAGTAGAATATAGAATAGATAAATTATGGTGCTTCCATCAACATAGTAATCTAAGCAATGAAAATGAATAAACTACAGCCATATCCCATGGCTGAATCTTAAAAACATAACATTGATCAATTTAAAATGTGAAAAAAAACTTACTCTATGATTCCACTTACATAGAGTGCAATAACAGGCATAAACTATATTGTTTAAAAATGAGCAATTAGGCAGTAAAACCACAAAGAAAAGCAAGAAAGTGAATACTTTGATAATCAAAATAGTGGTTATCTCTAGCTACTTGGGGATTATAAGGGAAGAGACACATTGGGGCCTTTTGGGGATTTGGTAATGTTCTACTTTTTGACCCAGTGGAGTTACATGAGTGTTTAAATTGTAGTCTTTAAGTAGTACACTTCCGTTTTTATTAACATTTCTGTATTTGCTATATTTACCATAACAAAAAAGAATTCTAATATCCTTCTTTCCCCATTCTTCCTGATTCTTCCTCTAGTTAGAAGCATCTACAGTGCCTCATAGGGACTTAAAGTTGTTATAGTAAGACTACAAGGAGAACAATTCAGTCTTTAAAAACAAAACACTTCCAAAGTTTTCCGAGAGTGAAACATAGAATTTGACCTATTTCCTTCCTAGCCCTGGTCGGATTAGCTAAAACAAAAATCAAGAAAACAAAAAACAAAACCCACTGAACTTAGAGGTAAGATCAGAGGTATATGTGGAGCCTAACAATAAGAAGTTGGGAGGCCAGGGAGGGAAGAATGAGGTTTGATGGAAGTGGTGGAAAAAGAGCATCAGAGTGGGCTGAGTGCCATTTTGGTGAACAGGGACAGAGGCTTGGGTAAGAGGCCTGGAAAGCTGTTATCAGAGCAGCTTTCAAAGGCTGCCTACTGCCTATACATGTATCATCCAGCAAAGGATAACAGCCTTCCTTTGAATTTCCTGGCAGTGAGCCTACGATACCTCTGTCAAAGACAGAGGGTGAAGGTGTGGCCTGCCCGGTTGTGTACAATGTTCCTCTCTCCATTCCTCCCATCCATTATACCGCTAGAGACTTTAGTCTGCTGGGCCCAAGAATCTATATTTTACTAAGCACCTTGGGTAATTCTCATGCAGGTGGCCTCTGGTGTTTGCATACCATGGTCCAGGGAAACTCCCACCACTGGCTTTGTTAAAAATTCTAATTCATAGGCCCCATACCAAACATATAGAATCAAAATTTCCAGAGAAGGGGTCCTTTTTTAACAAATCCCCAACCCCAGGAGATTCACAGGGAAGTCTGGGGAACTGCGCTAGAGACTTCTACTTTTTTATTTTCTGGTTTGTTTTTTTTTTTTGCAATGTACTTAAAAGGTTTGAAGTAACTGCATTTTGAAAAAAAATAAGTACCTTGTAGAAAGGATTACAAATTGTAGAATTTTTTCCTCCAGTCCATATTCTTCCTCAGTGCTGAAGATCCATAATCTGTTTACATGACACCTCTCCTTGCAGTCCAAAAATGTCTTAAACTCAACGTGTTCAAATTGAAATAACCATCTTCTCCCAAACCCAATTCTATTTCAGTGTTCCCACCTCTCAGTGACAGCATTACTATCTACCCACTGCGCCTGACAGAAATCCTCTTGCCATCTCTGACTCTTCAATCCTCCAGTCCCCATTCAGCTCCTCATTTAAATTCATCACCAAGAGCTAACATTTCATTTCCTAAATTGTTTAATTTTCTCAACTTGTCTTCATCTCCTTGTTCCTGCACCAGTCCACTTAAACTACTATGAACACTGACCACACCAACAAATCCTAGTTGGTCCAATGCTGGCCCTGTTCATATTCTCATTCTGCAGCTGGAATGATCTTTTCAAAACCCAGATCTGATCAGATCAAATCCTCTTCCCACTTTATTCTCAACAAAAAAGTGAAGGTTTTCTGTATGGCCAGTGAGGTCCTGCTTAGTCTGGTCTTAGTGCTTCACAATGTAGAACCTTCTTCCTGCAATCTATGCCCTAGCTACAATGGCCCACTTTCAGTCCATCATGCTTGTAATATTCCTTATGAAAAAACCCCTTTACCTAAGATGTTTCCTGTTTCCCTTTCTCCTTTCTTCAGTTTTTTATCCTGTAGATCTCCATTCCAGAGTTAATTCCTCAAAGAGGCCTTTCCTAAACTTTCCAAAATGAATCAATGAATAATCCCACTGCAAGCCCTCATAGCATCTGTCTCTAGTAACTTTCATTTATTTCTCTTGATACATGTGGCTCACTTACTTAACTAGACTTTTTAAAATCTCTTTGGCTAGTTTGTTTCCTTTCTCATCTTTTCTGGTGCTCTTCCTATTTCATTTCCCAAGAGTCTATCCCAGGATAAGTTTAGGATTAGTGGGGAATAACTCTTTAATATTTGGACACAACTAAAGTACCACTTTCATTGGCTCTCCCACATCACCTTTGGCTGATGTTGCCTTATCATTTTCCAATCTCTTGAACATTTGTCTCTGTCACAGTACTTATTCATTTTATGTTGCATTTTTTGTTCTCTTGAAGGTTTCTTTCACTAGAGTCAGTTGCTTTAAGGCAGCTGTTTTATTTATTTATCCTCAGCACTTAACACAAGGTCTTGTCCTTAAAAAATATTTAGAAGAACCCCTGTAGCCCGCAGTCCAGTTATGTAGTGCACACGTTGATAGTTCAGCTTCTAATATCTTCCCTCACTGTGCTTGACAAACACCACTTAATATAGAGGTGGCAGTGGTACAGTGCCTTCAACAATAGACATAGTCTTTCTATTCTTCAGTTTCCTCATTTTAAAAATAATATTTACCTTAACAGTTTGTTGGGAGGATTAGAAGAATGACTTAGGACTTCTCTCCCTCCCCTTACCAGGCCAAATCTCTGCTCTTACAGAGCAATTACCTAGAGAATTTTGTTGCTGGAAAAGGTTTTTGGAATCTCTTGCATCCAGCTAGCTCTTCTGCCTTCCACCTCCTGTTTCTTCCACTTTACAATTAGACCTTGATGGCTCAATTAGAACTAGAGAATAAATCTTTAGCAAGTAGAAGACATTTTCTATTCTCTTAGGAAAAGACATCTTCCTGAGGTGAGATGCAGTATCCGCATAACTGCACAGGCCTTCAAACAAACAAACAAACAAACAAACTTTGAAATAGCAAAGGTTGAAAAACAAAATGGTTAAATTTCTATATCAAAATAGGTGAAATGCTTGTTTTCATTTTCTTCTAGATTTGTGAAATGCCTGACCCAGAGTACACAACATGTAAATTTTGGTTCCCTTTCCTTCATTCTGTAATTAAAGATTTTAGGAGCTAGGAGAAGCAACTCCATCGTAAATTATCTGGTAACTTCCAGGGTAAATTATTCATACCCTTTAGGTACTGCTATGTCCAGTTTATTTTCTTTGTTTGCCTATTGAAACAATTTTACTCTTTAAAGATCATAGCAACTTTAAAAAAATTTTAGAATGTGTATGTAACTAAAATAGAAAAATCCCATGGAAGTGTTTGCACACGGGGTGAAAAACATGTTGTAGGGATAACACATGACAAAAGCTTTTGTTGACGTTTCTCTACCCTTCTCTACGTTACCTTGTGTGGTTCCACTGTCTTGTTATTTAGGATTGTCATTCCCAGTTGGCTAGGCAATTAAATGCTCTTTAGGCGATGTTTTAAATCGGAAGCAAATGTTGGCTGGGTGGTTTATTTGTGGGCCCACGCGTCAGGCAGGACCTGTGAAAGGTGTTTTTAAGGTAAGAGTTTTAAGAAAGAAAGCTCAGTTTATGTTGTTATCTAGTGTGAAATCACCTCTTTTGGCAGTTGGAGCTTACCACACACGGGTGAGGTAAGCGTGCAGTTATCAAATGACTCTTTGTGACGTTACTGACTGATAAGAGTCTCAAGCACTTCTGGAGACTGGGCTGAACTTTCTCCACTGGCTTCTTTGGGAACCAGCCTCTTCCAGTATGTGCATTACCAGCTTGCTCTGCTGCTGGTTGGATGACAGCCCCTACGCGACTCTTCAGGGGAAACTACGTTCCAGAGGCACTCACCTCCACCTTCAACCCCTCTCCTCTCTCACGGTGGTATAGGACCAATTTCGGGGATTTTCTTTTTCCAATGAGATTTGCAGAATGGGCTTTAAAAGAAAAGGAGGTAGAGGAAGAGTTAGAATTAACTGTATCGGCTGTAGTCGAAATAAACAGCATCACACCTCTCAGACGCGACGAGGAGCACTCCAGTTGACGGTGAAGTCACAGCAGCGAGCGTCCCCGAGCCAACCGCCCGGCCGCCCTCCGCAACTGCCCGCCCCTGTCACAGTCACGTGACAGTAGAGCGGCGCGCGCCGGCCGCGGCGCGGATTGGCCGGCGGCGGGAGCGCGGGGTTTGATGGGAAGGAATTGGCAGGGCCAGTCTCTGTCAGTGGAAGCTGCTACCCGCTCTGGAGGCAGGCTGGGCGGTGGCGCCCGAAGCTGGCAGAGGTGGACGCCAGCGCCGGGCTTTGCCCGCTTCTTGAAGGTAGAGCGCTTAAAATGAGGGCAACTTGGAGGGCTCGGCAGAGGGAAGGCGCGCTGAGCCTTTTTCTGGGAAGTACGCTCTCGGTTTCCCCGCTAGCCTCTCCCAGGCGTCTCTGCCCCATGCTGAGTGGCCTAAGAGCTCCACGGTGGCGGCTCAACAAATTGAATGCCGGCTGCGCGCTGACCCAGCCTCGCTCTCTGGTCCCTCTCATTTCCTTGCACAATGGCAGGGGTGGTTCTGGAGTGCTGGAGACCCCTTTCTCTTCTCCTCCCCCCAAGGGTGGTGGTTTTCAGTCCTGATTTCGGCGGGGGGCGGGGGGTGACCGGGGTGAGCTGAGCATCGGTTCTTTGGCCCACCTACGTGGAGGCAAAGGGTCAGAAGATCCTACGCCACGCTATCGTTTCGAGTGTTTTACCCAAGTCCTGAGTAGTGCCGAGGCGCTACGAGTTGGGAAGATCGGGAGGGACCGAAAACTGTCAGTGTCACGCTGCTCGGCCCAGAAGTGTGGGCGTGGATTATGTGAAATTTAGGGAAGCCTATGCACAGTTGTTGTCCTTATTTGAGGAGTGGTGGGCGGTGTAGGGGGTGGAGGGAAAGGCAGGTTTGCTTAGTTGTCAAACGTGTGGCAGAAGAAGAGCAAATCTGAACTACATCAGTAGTTTTAATTCTTTAATATTGTGTATGGGGGTTGAGAGAGAATTGGGATTGGTTATTTTGCTGATCGTTCCTCACACTACTAAGTAAAACCTGTGACTCATTGAGTTTTCCAAGTTCTGCCTTTCCTAGTTGGCTTCTGGTTTGTGGTGCGTAGTGTCATCTGTTTTCTCCTTTCTCTGTGCCCTGGGTGTCACCATTGACAAAACTGACCCTGTTCAACAGGGGTTTGTGTGGATGTGAATATGCTTGGTCTCAGGCACATGTTCAAACTGGCAGGGAACGGCTAATCTCTTGTCCTCAGCAGTCCGCATAGTTAGAAAATTTTTAGGAGGACCAAGTTGATTTTTGAACACATTTTACAAAATATGAGTGATGCATTTAAAATTAGAATGTTAAGTTTCTCTGTCATCTCCTGAGGTCAGCCCAATATGGTTAATGTGTTTATATGTTGTTTAATTGAAAAAAAAAAAAAGAAAAGAAGTCATTGGCTAGCATAACTTCATATTGAAGTCTTTGTAACCAAAATTATTTTTGGTAGTATTTAGTTAAGAATGAACATTGACTTACCATGAAGACCATAACTTATTCATCATATAGTAAAAATGCTTTTGGAGGTGTAATTCTTTCCAAGAGCTTTATTTTTAAGCAATAAATGTGGCAGTTTAGGATATTTCAGAATTCCCTTTTCAGTTATGATATGTGAAAGTTTGAGTTCTAGAACAAATCACTTTTAATCTTAAATTAAAAGTGAATAGTACACTTTTTGAATAGTACACTTAATTGAATAGTACAATGTGTTGTAGAGGTACTACTGATAGTGATTGAATAGTTTCTACTTAAGTTTCAAACTTGGTAAGCATAAAACTAAACTTCCTTTGCCGTTAAAGGCTTACATGTTATTTTAATGGAAGAGTCTGAAGAGCATTTTGTTTTACTTTTTTATACTATAGAGAATGAGAGCAATACAATAGCAATTAAAATACGAACTGCAATTTTATTTTCCAGTTTTAAAATTATGAAACAGGTTCTTTCTTTAAAGGAAATTAGAAAGAAATGTGTTTTAGATTAGAAGTATTGTCTGTACTACATTTATTTTCTGGTACTAACAATAACAATGGCTACAATTTATTATACACTTACAATTTGTTGGACACTATCCCAATTTTATTTATTTCATACAGTAATTCTCTGTGAAGTATAGATATTTTTGCTACTTTACAAATGTGGAAACTGAGGCTTAGAGAGTCTAATTTCCCTAAGATCACATACATAATATGTAGTTGAGTCATATTTTGAACCTAGGCCTCTTCTCCATTATTTTAATGACTTAAAATGAGCTGAAAATTTAAAAATAACATGCCCCAAGATTTTAAATTCTGACATCCAAACCTCAGTGTAAATTACAGTTAATGGAAAAAAAATCCAAATAATATGGGGGCATGATTATTCATTGGAAACATGTAGGTGCGCCTTGCTCTTAAGGTCATATCAGGTCCCATTGTGATATCAGAGTGGAAAGAGACTCTCTGTACATGTTCATGGAAGAGTTCTTGGGGACAAGCCACTTGAGATTGAGCCAATTTGTCCATTCAGGGGCAAGCAAATAAATTTATACTTCAGCAGGAAATGCTAGTTATTTGGTTCCAATGTAATTTCTATGTGTTGAAAGGAAGCAGAGATGGCCTAGAAAACAGCAAGGATCACAGCGATTAAAACAACAGTTTGTATTGAGAAATTAACATGGGTCAGGCGCTGTTGTAAATAGTTTAGAATGCATTACGTCACTTAAGCTTTTGAACATTTAAGAGGGTCCTTAAACTGGTCTTCCTTTGCAGATGAAGATATCGAATAATTGAGAGGGCAAGTAATTTATTTGCCCAAGGTTTCATAGTAAGTAATGGGCCACGGGAATTGGGGTTGATACTGGGGTGGCAAGGAGGGAAAAGATGTTTGAAAGTAGAAGAGGTGTGAAATTAAAACCATAAAGAAATAGTTGAGTTATTTAATTTTGTTATGCTTTTATATCTTTTAGAAAGTACTTCCATTACACATGCATTATAGTAAATCAGCTTCTTTAACAAATACCAGAATTTGATAGGAAAATTGCTGGAACAATGAGGGGTGACTGGTTCTTTGATTATGAATCTGAAAGTATGGATATGGCATTTAACGACTGTTACCCTAATGTTGTTTTAGAGGACAAATTGAAAAGCACAGTCCTCTGCTTCAGGGATCTTGAAGGCTAAGCCATATTTTGCTTCATTAACATCAAAACAATTTTCCAAGCAAATAATTAATGTCAAAGTCAGCATTAATTGCAATTTTATGCATATATTTCATATTACACTTATTTAAAAAGTGATATACAGAAACAAGTAAAGGAAGTGCTCTCAGATTTCTAGTGCCAGTTCTGCCCCTAGCTGGAGTTGCATGATTTTGGCAAATCATTTAGCATATCATCCATGTAGATTTATGCATTCAAAGTTAATCAAATGAAGAAATTGGTCTACATTATACACTGTACTAACACTGTCTCTTGTGTTTATAACTCACTTTCCACTTCAGTAGCTCTGTTTACTAGCTATTTGAGAATGTCAGAGGTGCTTTCATATATTTTATATATAAATATTCCAATCTCATATATAAAGCAGGGTTTATTTCATGTTATTGAGAATAACTGGTTGATTTTTTAAAAATCAAGACTAAAATGCTGTGTCTGACTCTACTACTTAATGTCTTTGGGGCCTTAATGAATTACTTCACTCCCCTAGCCTCAGTTTCCTTATTTATAAAATGGAGCAATAATAGTATCTGCATGATAAAATTCATGTAAAGCATTTGTTTTAAGGCCTGCTAGAGAGTAAGTGCTTACGGAGTGTTTAACTGATATTATCCTTATTGTTAATACTTTCAAATATTAAAAATTCTAATATGTGATGGCTGCAAACTTAACTTGCAGGCATGTAATTCTGTTACAGACCAAGATATGTAGGTCAGTTGTATACAAAACACTGTGGTAGATACCATATATTAGTTTCAAAATAGTGGGATGTGTATTTTGAAAATACCAAGTTAAAGTGGTTCATCTGAATCTCCCCTCCCTAGTCACCTTTCTTGGTGATTATTTTTAGCATCTTAAGAAGGTTTTAAGATCTATTTAATGTCTTAACTCAGAAATTTATACTTTCATTAATTAAGGTTCCAGGATTTCCTACAACTGCATTTTAGAAATTTGAATACTGAGTTAATATTGAAGGATTAATAATATTTAGATTGTAACATAAATATGACTTTTAGCGTTCATTATATTTATAAACCTCAGAAAATTTTAGGACAGATTATAGTTACTTCTGTTTCTAAAAATTACTTTGTAAGTGAAAGTATTTCATAATTAAGCTCTTTGTGACTTCTCTAATCAAGAAAGTCCAAGATAGGTATGGCTTATGCTAATTGAAACCTATAAATAGTTTCACAGAGAGTATTTACTTGGTCATGGCATTATCTTTTTATTACATTTATGGTTTTTAAAAAATGTAAGAATTATTGCCCAACTTTTTTTTTGATGGAAATGAAGTAGTATGTACTGGCAGTATGTAACTAAAACCTGGTTCAACTTAAAAGAATAAATATTTTTCTAATTATTGACTGGTAATTTGATTTAGAATAATAAATTTTTAAAATATATGATAATATAATACATTTCAGAGTAATAGTAAAACAGTTAAACAAAGGGGATATACAGAGAGCTGACATGAAAATCAACTAACTTGAGGGGGACTTAATTTCAGAAAGAAATGTTTATTTGGGTGTTCAACAGTAGTGAACAGCCAAGAAGTCTGAAGATAGAGTGGCTTTGGGCCACGTTTCTTATGGACAAGTCGCGAAACCTCTTTTCACTTAATTTTTTTACCTGTAAAATGGAAAAAAATGAAGGCTGTCCTGTGAAAATTGTTGGTCTTATTAACTCTAATTTACAGAAAAGAAAATTAAGGCTCAAAAACATTAAGTGATTTGCTCAATACTACAGGTAGCCTTGAAATCCTTATATTCTTATTCAAAATCCAGTTAGCTTTCTATTATTATTTATAAGGTGATTTTTTCCCCTAAACATTGTAAAATACCTTTTATTCCAAAAACTAGTTTAGTTGGGAAAGAGCTGAACTTTTCTTATGAGAAAACAAAAGGAACCTACTTTAAAGAATAGAAAAATTGAGAAGTGGTATGAATATATATTTCTGAAATGTCTTGCCATTAAAAAGTCTTTCCAGCTTTATTTTCATTTTTAAATATGTCCTAGCTTGGAAGAAAGGATTTTTTTTAAAAGGTGGACTCTATCCCAAGACTGGCTAAATTAAAATTTGACTTAAGTGGAACCCAAAGAAATTAATCTTCTGTAGTATTTTTAAGCAGTATTAGAACTTCTGAATTTTGTAGTGGGTAGGCTATGTGTTGTAACTTGAATTTTTAAAATACTTGCTTTATTTCTAGCTGTGAATTCCGTTGGACAATTGATGATATTTATCATTGTGCTCAGTTTCTACAAATAAAAGATGGGTGGATTATTTTCTCGATGGAGGGTAAGTTACTTTTCTTTACAGCCAGTTTTTAGTCTAAAACCAAAGTGTCAAATAAAGCTCTTTGTAAAAGTTTCTTTTGTGGTGTAGACTTGGGTAGTAGTTTGATATTATCCCTGACTCTCATTTTTCTTTTCGCTTATAAGTTAGTTTTTTATTTGGACTTTAATAGTTCTGCTTGCTATATAGGTATCTAATGTCTCTGTTTAACAGAGTTAGTTCACTCTTACTTATGAATTGTTTTTATTTCTCTATTTATGTATTCACATACAAATGGTTATCTTGTTTTCTTCTCATAGTACCTAAGATTCAACCTTACTTGAAAGGTAGTTGAAATTAGTATTTTATACAGTACTTATGTTTTTATAGACTATATCTTTTTGCTTAAAACTTATCACAAATATTTACTGAAGTTATACTAAATATACTTTTAGGAAATATAGGTTAAACAGAATTAAAAAATGCACTCTGATTTTATTGGTTAAGCCTTTAGAGGAAGTAGCTTAGCTTTAGAGCTGAAAAATATAAAATATATTGGTAAATGCTCTTCTCTAATATAAGAGGAGATAATGTAGTCTAGGACAAATTACTTAGCTTATTTTTTGGACTCCTTTTTACCTTAGTAATGCTTGGCACACACTTTAGTTTTGAATTGTTGCTGGAGCTGCTCTGTTTTGGATTGGCATTATATTGACCCCTGCCCCCCTTTAAAACGCTTTTTACAGTTCTGCCTAAATATCACATTTATCTGTTCTTCCTTTGTCTTTCTTATTAGGTTGAACCATACAACAGTGCCAATATTCAACAGCTTTGACTTACATAAATAGCAATTTCATATGGTTCAACCTAATGTTAACAACTCTTGTGGGAACTACAATGAATTGATATTCATTACCCTCTTAGATTGTTGAGTATATGATTGGTAAACATTTTCTCAAGTGTCGTATGAGTCATTTTGGCTGGTTTTTATTCTAGGTGGTATAAAAAGTACCTTTAACAAATAAGCTCTGCTATAATGAAGTATTCTTAGATGCCCTTTTAAAATCTGATCTTCAGAAAAGTATTTTAGGAAGTCAGAATAAAGGTAGCTTTATTGATTTTGATTTTGAGTCCTTAGTGAACTTTTAGCAGTAGCAAATCAGATGAATTTTAGTCTTGAATTTTTAATATATGAATTCTTAGGGTCATCACATCTAAGAAAATTTTTCTTTGAAGAAAATGTGTTTCTCTTGATAAAAATATGTTCTGTTGGGATTAAGGATGGTAAAAATTGAGGTATCAAAGTTGAAAGTACTTCTGGGACTAAAAGGAAGTTAAGTAGGAAAATGCTTATTTAATCTTATGTAGTCCTGTTTATAATTATAATTTTTATTTAAATCTGAATCTTATTTATAAACAAACAGGAATACATAAAGCTTGACAGCACTTGAAAAAACAATTTTGGATTAAAGTGTTCTTTTATGATTGTATAAATCAAGGTGTTTCTAAATTTGCAGTAAGAGGTTTTAATGCTGTTTCTTGTTTCTATTTCTATAACAGACAAAACCTTCAACTGTAGAAGTTCTGGAAAATATAGATAAGGTATGTTCTTTACCTCTGGGGAGTTTTAATTCATTTTAGGTGTTATATAAATATTATTTTAATATATATTATTTTGGAGATTGGATTTGGTATGGGAATTTAGAGATGATAGAGAGTAAGCATGAGAATTTTAATATTACATGATCTCAAAACAATCCAAAGTCCATCACTGACTTAAGACTGTGCTAAGTAATAAAATATGTTTGAATGAAATTAGATGTACAGAGTTGTGTAAATCAATGTTCTAGGTAGGATAAAGTAGATTATAAGATAGTTTGCAACAAGTTTTGTTAGTATGCAAACTTCACAGCTTTTTATGCTTTCTATGATTATTAAAAATGGCTATTCCTTGGGAATAGTGAGATCAATGAACAGATAGAAAGACAGTAGTATAGATCACTGTTTCAATATTTATTAATTATTTTTATAGCCAGATATTTTATAGACTTTATACAGGAGAATTATTATTTGTTTGGTTTAACAAATACTATTTATTGATGCTAATTTATACCTCTGATGTTCACTAGTTTGCTAGGTTAAAAATAGTATCTTAATATTGCATTTAAAAAAGTGATTGTCAGAATAGGCATTTTTATTTATTTTTGACTTTACTTTTAGTTTTTCATGTTTTGTTCCATTTTAAAATATTAAGGTATTATATTTCATTGAAATTTAAAAGTTCTTTCTATATAACCTCTCATGTGAAAAATTTTTGTTGACATTTTAGTATCTTTATGAAGTTTGAGATTTAATAATATAAAATGATTTTCTCTTAACAGGAAATTAAAGCATTGGAAGAATTCAGGGAAAAAAATCAGAGACTACAAAAATTATGGGTTGGAAGATTAATTCTTTACTCCTCAATTCTTTATCTGTTTACATGTTTAATTGTATACTTGTGGTATCTTCCCGAAGAATTTACAGCAAGACTTGCCATGACACTCCCATTTTTTGCTTTCCCATTGATGTAAGTAAATTGTTCTTTTTGTTGACCTTTCATCTTTTTGACCAGATAGTTTTTGTATTCATTCTTTTTTTATTAGGAAAAAACAATGACTCAGATTGAATAAATTTGCTTTGTTTTGCAGTTTGAAAAATATATATTTTTTAAAAGTAGAATGCTGTTTTAAATCTTTCTTTACATTCCAACATAGTTGAGGAATGTGACCCAATTACATTAGTAATAATAGCTTTCTATGGCAATCTTTAGTAATTCTCTAATAAGATGGTCATGCTTCTTTAGGCATATTGGGCATGGAGTGGGCATTTCAGATTGTGGGTAGAGGCAAGTGAGGAAGGGTTTGTAAAACAAAAAGAATAACAGCCCCAATGATTCTGAATATGTTCCATTCATCCTACCTGTCTTCTCTTCTTCTTAGTTACTATTATAAAGCAGTTGGCCCGTCCTGGCTGGTGTGGCCCAGTGGATTGAGCACGGGCCTGAGAACCAAAAGGTTGCTGATTGGATTCGTAGTTGTGGGTTGTGGGCTAGGTCCCCAGTTGGGACATGTGAGAGAAAGAGGTAATCAGTCAGTGTATCCCTCACACATAGATGTTTCCCTCTCTTTCTCCCTCCCTTCCCCTCTCTCTAAAAGTAAGTAAATATTAAAAATAAAGCAATTGGCCCTTAAGATAGAAATATTTTATAATATAGGACATTACAGAAGATGTGTTGTGATTGAGAATTTTGAGAGACAATTGAATAAAAAATTTGTCCCTTCAATCAACAAACCTTTATGGGTACCAGTTGCACAGACATTGGATTATAATGCTTTACGGTATGCAAAAATACAAAATTCCTGACTGTAGATCTTGGACTGCATACATTAAATTAAACAATAAGTATGGTGAATATTATGAAAGAGAAGTACCAAATACTCTAGGATCATTTAACAGGGGCCCTCACACAGTCTGGAAGTAGGGGTCAGGGAATGGCCTTTGTATTCATTTTTCTATTGCTGCGACAAAGTTACTGGCTTCAAGCAACAGCCATTTCTTGTATTGCAGTTGTGAAAGTGAGAACAGATGGCTTGACTGGGTTCTCTGTATAGGGTCTTACAGGTCTAAAGCAAGGTTATCAGCTGTTGTGGAGTCTTATCTGGACTTTCTGTGGGAAGAATCTTCTTATAGACTCAATCAGGTTATTGGCCAACTTTTTATTTTTTTAATCTTTATTGTATTTTTTTACATTATGTTTTAGTCCCCTTATACCATCCCTCTCCCAGCAATCATCACACTGTTGTCCATGTCCATGAGTCTTTTTTCTTTTTTGCTCAATCCCTCCACCCCTTAACTCCCCTCTGCCCCCACTAGCTGTCATCGTGCTCTCTGTCTATGAGTCTGTCCTCATTTTCCTTGTTAGTTCAGTTGTTCATTAGATTCCATGTATGAGTGAAATCATATTCTGAGGGATCTCTCTGACTTCTCATTCTGCCCTTGGACCTAGAAAGCTCTGTTTTTAAGGGTTTAACAGATAATATTAAGCCCACTAGAATAATCTCTTTATTTTAAAATCATCTGAGTTATAATTATATCTGCAAAATTTCTTCACAGCAGTAAACCACTATTTGTATAACCAGAAGATAGAAGTCTTGGGGAAAGAGAGGGCTACCTTTAGTATTCTGCCTACTACAGGCTCCCTGAGGAAGTGACATTTGAGTTTGAGACCCAAAGAATGAGTCTCTGTATCAAGAGTAGTGGGACATGGTGGGTGGTATTTTAGGCAGAAGGAACAGCATGTTTGAAAGTCCTGAAGCAGGATAGAACATGGCAGGTTTAAAGAATTGAAAGAAGGCCAAAGACTGAATTATAGAGAAAAGTCTAGATAATCAGGCAAGGGATCTTTCTTGTGGGCCTTCTAGTTCATGATTAAGAATTTAGGCTTTAACCTAAAAGTAGTGAAAAGCCATGGAAAATTTTAAAGAAGGAATATGACATGATTATGTTGTTATTTTAAAGATAACATTGAAGCTGTGGTATAGAGAATAAATTAGAGGGGAATAAGAATGGGTCTGGAGCAGCAAGTTAAAATGTTATTGTAGTTTTCTGGGGGAGAAATGATTCATGGTGATTTGCACTTGAGCGCTGGTAGAAGGGAAGAGAAACAATGATGGATTGAAAAGATCGAGGGGGTAGAAATGAGGTAATGTGGAGAGGCTCATGTTGGTTAGTTGGATATAGGATGAGAGGGAAGAATTGGATCAAAGAGAAAACTCAAGTTTATGGCTTGGGAAATTTTGCTGATGGTAGTATCATCTGAATAGGGAACAACCTCAGGAGAAGCAGGTTTGGTGATGCACTGAGACTAAAACACCTGTATTTTCTTTAGATAAAGCTGTCAAGTGGTATGGTTAAGTATGAGTATGAAGCCCAGGAGAAAAATTTGAAGAGGAGATATAAATTTAGAATTTGGCAGCCAATAAATATTAATCACAGCCATCATCTGTTTACTAAGAAAATATTGGGCACTTACAATCTCTTAGGGTAGTTGGCTAGATGCTGGTGATTAAGAAAGTAGTGAAAAGATTTGTGCCTCGTGTAGCTTACATTCTGTTGGAATTGGTCAGATAAAAAATGAAGAGAAGCAAACATAGGTAATTTAGAGAGAGATAAATGCAATGAAGAAACTAAGCAGGGTGATGTGAGAAAGAGGAATAAGCTACTTTATGTTGGTCCTGGAAGGTCTCTTGAGAAGGTAGGATTTGAGTTTAGAACTAAAGTATGAGAAAGAACCAGCTCGGAAAGAGTTGGAATTTATGGAATATGATTTATAGATACCATATATAATAGCACATATATCCGTAGAGAGATGTAGGAAAGGATTGTCTTCAAATTATTAATGGTAATTCTCTCTAGGTGGTTGGTGAAAAACAGCATTTTTTTCATATGCTTTCAGTACTTTTTGAATTTTTGACATCAGTGTGTTCTTCAAGTCCTAAAAACCAAACCAAACCGAACCAAAACTTAGGAGTTGAGAGCTCTTTCCAAGAAGAGAAAACAAAAAATGCAAAGGCTGCAAAGCAGGAGAAAGCATGACTTCGTTAGCTCTATCTGAAATGTGTAATGGAGAGGAAGAGTGATACAAAGTGAGCTTGCAGAATCAGGCAGCCTCTGGATCATGGAGAATCACGGAGAGAAGTTTGAATTTCATTTTGGGTGAAATAGGAAGCTTGTAAAGGTTTTAGTGGAAGAATGGCGTTAGATTTAGGTTAAGAGGGTCATGTGTGCTGACTTGCAGAGGTTGAGTAAGAGGAGGACAAGAGTAGAAATGCGGAGGAGGCTGTTAGGGAAGTTTAATCTAAAGATGGTAGATGGACTGAATTGCCCCAGTGGCAGTGGAGATGAGTAGATGACTTGTAAATGTTTTGGAAGTAAAACTAAGACAACTTGGTGGGAGGAAATAAGAGGCAAAGAAGGGAAAAGAGGGAAAAGGAAGAATCAGGGCGATACTTAGGTTTTTTTTGTTTGACGGGGGAGAGATAGGACCTTTTTTTGGGGTGACTAGTATAAATTTTTGTTTGTTTCTTTAGTCTTTAGTGCAGGGCATATTTTCAAATTGGAACTCTGAGAGCTCATAAAACTTTAACTTTGTACATACATAAAAGAGCCAAAAATTGAGCGTGTACATATTATAAAATAAATGTCTCTGCCATTTTATTTTCCTTCTCTTTTGAATTCTTTTGGAATCCTTATTTTAGGTATAACAGCAGATTTTATAATACTGAGCTTCTTTTTCTTGTTTCCCTTTTATGTTTTCATAAACAGAGGAGAGAAAAGAAATTCAGAAAGGGAATTAACATTACTGTGCTCATTTTAATGGCTATCCCCAAGTTGTGATCTACTGGTTCTACTGTTACGATTCAGAAAACATTTTTGGGGGAGGGGCAAATAGATCGTCTATTAATTGTTTTTAAAAGTAGAAAAACTTGCAGTTCTTTAAAAATGTTTTTTCTTTAGTTCTTTCTGTTTTTCTGAGTGTGAAGGTTTATGATTCATACTTTGTTCTCTGCCTCTTCTGCATCTTCTGCATCTAGTTATTTCTTGGCTTGTTTAACTTCAGAGCCATTTCTCACTTTGTGTCATTCGCATCTGTGACCTGGTTCTCAACTCCTGCAGCTTCTGTTTCAGTGAGCTTTTCACTTTTGGAAGCATAGACCAGTTACTGAACAAAGAATAGAATTGTCCTTCTGATAGATGGCAATCAAAAAAGCATGAAATAAAATACAACAACATGAAAGTGGATAGAACATGTGGTAGATAGAAAGAAGACTTACCAAGGGACATTTTCATTTGTGTGTAATGTGAGTTATTGCCCAAGCTTATCCCTGGACTTTTTCCTTTGGAAATAAAAGTTTTGAGGTCTGGACCAGGGTTTACTTAAAGAAATGGAGGCAGAAGGGGCAATCAAATGTACTACTTTACTCATCACTATATGCATTGATTGCAAAGCTTAGAAATCCACCCAATAACCACAAAAAAGTGACTGCTATCTTTGCAGTCCAAGTTTTCCAAATGCTTTTACTGGACAGAGAGGTCATGGATTCAAGGCTAAACATATATGGCTTAATCATAACTATTCCAAATTACCTTTCGTGGTAGATTATCAGTACATTACATATGATGCTTTGAGACTTTATTTTGCTTTCAGGATGTAGTATGGAGGAACTTGCTGTGAATCCAACCTATTGTTTTTCTGTCTTTATGATTCAATAATATGTATGTCTCTGATCTTTTCAACTCTTAACTGAAACTGAAATCATAATATAATGCTGAATTTATGTTACAAATATAATGATTCCTAGGAGTCATTAAGGTTATGCTTAGTGAGGAGAGAGATGGATTACAGTTAAATTTTTTTTTTAAATTTCTGCATCATATTAGCAGATACACATTATTGAGAGTTGGTTTGTTTTCTAAGAGTGAACAATCATTAAGCTTTGTCTCTAACTCAACTGACTTTATAAGCAATCTTACAGACTTTTATTCCTGGATACCTTATTCTTACAGAGTATGATTTTCTAGAAGTTCCATTCACTATAAGATCCTTTCAGAGACCAATTAGCATAAAATGTTGACCTTCTCAGAAGATTATTTTCCTTCTGTTTCTTTTTTTTCTTTTTGTCTCATAAATGAGGTTATGGGGGAAATTTTTAAGCAAAAGAACTGGGGAAGGGGTCCTGTCCCTATTTTTCATGTTTTCTTGTTTTCCCATTACAGCATTTCTCAACCCTTTTCATCTCACAGCACACACAAACTAATTAATAAATTGTAGCCCTGACCATTGTGGCTCGGTTGGTTAGACATTGTCGCAGAGGATGAGGCGTCGTCAGTTTAGTTCCCAGCCGGGCACATGTCTGGGCTGTGGGTCCAGTCCCTGATCTGGGCACATGCAGGAGGCAGCCGATTGATGTTTCTCTCTCACATTGACTCTTCTCTTCCTTTCTTTTTCCCTCCTTCCCCTCTCTCTTTCAAAAAAAGAAAATTCTGTGGCACACCAAAAAATACATTTGTTTTGCTGATCTGACATAAAAAAAGAGGTATAATTTTAATTCATTCATACCAGATAGCCATTGCCATGTTGGCTGTTGTCACTTCTTTTTGACAATCTAAGGGAAAAGAGGTCAGTGACCCTGACTAAAATAGTCAGGTATTGTATGTTTTAAAAATTCTTGTGGCATACCAGTGTGTGTGGCACAGGGGTTGGAAACTGCTTCTACTAAATTAACACTGATTTGAGGATAGGGCTTTGATCTTACATAATTTTTATGCCTCTTTACTCTCCTCCTCCCATTTAGCATGTAACAGATATTTTCTCAATCTTGCCAAAAGTTTAGCAAATATAATTTGTAGCTTTTTTGAGAAAAGTTTGTTTCATGGCACTCTAGTAAGAATACAAAGTATCTCTCATCAACTATAGTTGGCTCTTAAAGAGGTAAGTATCTGTGAACATTTCCTGATATTTACTCAAGGAGAATACAGTTGACCCTTGAAAACATGGGGGTGAGGGGCAATGACCCTCACCCCTCCTGTGCAGTCAAAAATGCACATTAGCTTTGACTCCCCAAAGTCTTACCTACTAAAAGCCTCCTGCTGCCCGGAAGCCTCACCAATGATATATACCGTTGATTAATATACATTTTTAAGCAAAAGAACTGGGGAAGGGGTCCTGTCCCTATTTTTGTATGTTATATGTACAATATCTATACTGTATTCTTAAAGTGAGCAAGAGAAAAAGAAAATGTTATTAAGAAAATCACAAGGAAGAGAAAATACATTTATTGAAAAAAAATTACCATATGAGTGGACCCACGCAGTTCAGACCTGTGTTGTTCAAAGGTTAACTGTATTTACTTTGGTAGGTAAGAAAATCATTTTGCAAGCATTCCTTTTGCAATATTGATAAATATTTGAATATTGATATTCATTTGATAGAAGTTTGTTCTTAAAGAATTATATACTGAAACTTAATTAAGAGACACATCTTATTCTTGAATGGGAAGACTCAATATTGCAATGAGATCCATTCTTCTAAATTTAAAAATGTGTGATCATAATAAAAAATACCAATATACTTTAAAAATCTTACCACAGTTCTATAATTTTTAATGGAAAAACAAGCACATAAGAATAGTCTTCAAAATTCTAAAAAAAGGAGAGGGAAAAGAAGAGGTGTACGTGGCATCAAATGCATTATGAAACTTTATTAATTAAAAGTTTGGTACAGTGTTTAGAGACACAAACCAAAGAAAGAGACACAGAATTCAGAAATAAATCCCAATAGGAATTTTTATGTATGGTTTTTATGTTAGTATATGGTAGAGATGATATTTCAAGTCATTGGGAGGAAATGGAGTTGAGTTTTACTGAAAAATAGATGAAAATAAAATGTAAAGCTTGATTTCTGCCTTATTTCTTATACCAAAATAAATCGTTGTTTTCTGTTTTTGTTTTTGTCTGAATGTAGAGGTTATCCTTGCTAAGGCTTTGATAGTTAAATAGACAAAATAGTCAATATTGTTAGAAGTATTGAGACCTATATATCTTTTCATTTTTAGTTTTACATAGTATTTACATCTCATCTAAAAACATTTCAGGAAATTGGATTGGGCTTATGTGGTTTGGCAGAAAAGGGTTAATTTTGGCAGAAAGAATGAATGATTTCTCTTTAAGCTTTGCCTTCTCTGTGTCATTTCGGAACCAAACTGAGAAGTTTGTGCCTGTAGCATGGTTATCTTATTTTCATTGTTATATACAGAGGTTTTAGGCTTTACATTTTGAGAAGTTTATCTTGCTGCCTTTGTGAGACAAGCAGTTTTCCTTCTCTGCTTCCATTCTTTTGAGCTCCTGCATGACCTCCGTAGCTTTTGGGAGCCCTTCCACTTATTCTGAGAATTGGGCTTTAGCTATACCTTAATTTTACCAGAAGAGAAAGGTGTTTTTTTTTTTGTTGTCGTTCTTATTGTTGTTTGAATTATTTCCAAGAAGAGGCGGGAGAAATGTTGATTGTGTCACTATTGTCAAAGTAGGAATCAGTGAAGTATCACAGAATATGTTGCCACATTTTTCATAAATTATATGTAATTATTCAGAGAGGAAAACCTTCACTGGATAACTAAAACATAGATTCATGAAGTGCTTTAATTCTTTTCCTAGATTTTATTTAAAAATACCAAAGAATTTTATTTAATTTAGCCTTAAAGAACAGCTTATATGTTTCACCTTTTCAAGTCTTGAAGACTTGACATACAGAAATTTGATAGCTCATTTTCTCCTGTAGTAGTACTGATAAAAACCAAAAGGAGAATTTATTGTCCACCTAGGGGGATTAATGAGTTTTATTTTGAAGTAAGGGAGTATATTTTAATTCTTGTAGTTTTTACACTTGGAAAAGTACATATGCTTTAAAAAAGTATCTGCTCATTTAAGAAAATATTACTGATTTTCTACAGAATTCTGATCACTATCTCTACAGTTCTTTCTTGTGTGTTCTCTGTTTTCTTTCCCTGTACTTTTTTCCTAACTAAATTATTTCTCTCAGCTTGCCATTGTTTTCAGTGTGTTCGAAGTAGAGAAATATTATTCTGCTGTAGGATCCTTGAGGGTTCTGAGCAGTATTTTTAACCTCTTCTTTCATCTTCCTTTCCTTGATAAGGACAATACTCAGGTGTTTTTTTGTTTTTCTTTTTCTGCTTGGGTACTTGTCCAATTACTATGTGGGAATCTGGTGCTGGTTATTAAGTGTTTTCAGATCATAAAAATAAATTATAACTATGTAAAAAGCATGTATATCTATTCCTGTGTAACAAATTATCTAGAATTTTGTAGCTTAAACCAATGTTTATTATTTCTTACAGTTCTTGAGGGGCAGGAATGTGGGAGCTGCTTAGTTGGGTGATTCTGGCTCAGGATCTTTTATTTACATACAGGATGCATAAATTTCTGTTAAGCTGTTGGCTGGGGCTATCATCATCTCAAGGCTTAACCTAGACTGGAGAATTTACTTCTAAACTCACACATAGTTGTTGTTGGCAGACTTCATCTCCCCACTAGTTGTTTGCCAGAGACGTCTGTTCCTGGCCACCTGGGCATTTCTGTAGGGTTCCCTGAATGTCCTCATGTCATAGCAGCTGGCTTTTCTCAGAACAGGTAATCCAAGAGAGAGAAAGATAGTGGAAGAAGAGGCCCAAGATGGAAGCTGTAGTCTTTTATAACCTAATCTTGATGTGACATAATCTCTCTTCTGCCACATGCTATTGGTCACACAGATCAACACTGCTGAGCAAGGACTACACAAAGATGTGAACACCAGGATACAGGGTTCATTTGCCACTACCTTGCAGGCTGACTCTCAAGAATAGCAATGATATTTTAGAGTAATGAACTAAGTTTCATACTTATCTAAATTTATGTCCAGATACAATATATTTCTTTAATAAAATGATGAATAATGTTTGTATACTTCTTTTGTCATGTTCTATTGAGAAAGAGATATTTTGCTATCTTTACATTAAGTTTAAAAGATGACCTTGACAACCTTGTGATTAGGATCATTCTTTGATTTTCTTTTAAATTTTTTAAATATCATTTACTGTCTTACTAATGCCAGGTTTAAACAATTATCCTCATAAAGTCTTTGGAAGGAAGTGTTTAGCTGAATTTACTTATCAATGTTTTTTTGAAGGTAAGATTCCGCCCCCACGCCCACTGCCGCCCCCCCCCCCCGCCCCAACAGCTAATTCTATTTAGTAGAGAAGATCCCTCCAATGTTAAATAATAGGGAAGGAGTAACAACTTACATTTGTATAATGCTCTGGATTTTTAAAACATGCTTTTCCCTTAATGCATGGGAATAGACAAATTTTTGGAGTTGATGCTTACTTAGTAAGAAGGGATTCTAAAATTTGTTCCTAATCTTTTGTGGCATTCATAGACCCTTTTGAGATAACGAAATGCAATCATGTACACAAAGACAATTTTGCAGTTAAGAGGACCCTCAGAAGGACCATGGATTTTAGAGTCAGAACTTCTCCTGTGAAAGCACTGATAGATTTCTGATTGTCTCTGAAAGAAAGGAATACTTTTTTATTTTTAACATATCAAGGAAACAATGGATCTAACTCTAATTGGAGATGTGTATTTGTTTTCATCTTACATGGCTTCTAATTTACTTATCCTAATGATGTTTTGTTTCTGAATTTTGTCTCCTCTGTAGCATCTGGAGCATAAGAACAGTGCTTATTTACTTCTTTTCCAAGAGAACAGAAAGAAATAGTAAGTTTAATTTCTAAGTTTTTATAAATGCATTAGAAAACTCATCTCATAGTGCATTGGTTTATAATTAAATGGTAGGTTGTGAAATGGTGTATTGCAATGACAATGTGGTAAATACTGAAGAGTTGTTTACTGTGAAGTATTAGAAAAGTTATGATCCTGGCCAGTTGCTTAGTTGGTTAGAATGTCATGCTGATACCCTAAGGTTGTGGGTTTGATTCCCTATCAGGGCACATACAAGAATCAACCAAAGAATGCACAAATAAATGGAACAACAAATTTGATATTTCTTCCCCCACGTCTCTCTAAAATCAATAAATTAAAAAAAAGAATAAGTTCTTTAAAAAAAAGGTCATGAATAATTAAGATGCTTTTGTTTTTCATGTGTTTTATTTGTCTTGTTCATTTAGAATTTTTATTTACACAAAACAAAATAATTCATTTCTTTAAGTCAAGAGGAATTATATATTTTAAGTTAATCTTATAGGAAACATTATTATGGAATAAAATATGATTATACATCTTTTGATTTATTTTATTAATTGCATCTTTCTCTTTGACCTTACAGTACCCATGCTTTTGTTTGTATTGAAATATATAAATTATCATAAAATAAATCTATATGTGTTCAGATTTTAAGGCTTTTCAGTCCTTAAAACTATGAGCTTTAATTAACCAAAGATAGGCTGATTTATTTTTTAATAAAATTTATGTGACTTTTTTCTTTTCTTGTTTTAACTTTTCATTATAGAAAATTTCAAATATATACAAAAGTAGACTGACTAGTGTATGGAACCCTCATATACTATCGTACAGTCTAAACACTCTTTAACTCATGGTCAATTTGTTTCATTTTTACCCCACCTACTTATCCACCTTCTGTATTATTATTCTAAGGTATATCCCAAATATATCTATCCATAACAGACTTAAAAAAAAATTAAACAATACATTATAACAGTGAAAAAAGAAAAAAAGTCCTGAGGTTAACAGTTAAATAACATTATATAAGTTTCAGGTGTACATTATAATTCAGTATTTGTGTGCTCAGTAGAAATAGCCTAATTTCCATTCATCACCGTATATTTGACCCTTTCCCAGCCCCTTCTCCTGTGGAAACTACCAACCTGTTGTCCATATCTATGACGGCTTTTTTCTCTTTGTTCATTTGGTTCTCTAAAAAGAATTCTTAATATCATAAAATATTAAATATAAAAGCATTAAATTTCCAGTTATCTCATAAATATCATTTGCTTTAAAAATATTTTGTTTGTTTGACTTAGGATCCCCAGAAGGATCATACAGGTATATGACTTTCAAACTGTCCTCCTTGCTCATGATTTGAACCCAGTTTAGGTTCTGTGGTCTAGCTCAATGACCATCCCTTGTAGACTCTCTTAACTTCTTTGCCCTCTTTCCTAGTCTACTTGTCTGGCAAGCTGTACCTTGTTTAAATATAATTATATGCTTAATCAATGACTGGTAAAACCCTGTCTTGGTTAAAAACATTTATGTGCTTAATCTGTGCCTGCAAAAGGAAAGCTAAATTTGGTGGGGGAAAATCATAGAACATGTTCACCAGACTTATTTTAAAATATCTATGTTTGCAAACATTAAATGTATGTTCAACACTGCCATACTGTCCCATTTGATAGTTCTCTAGTAAATTTACCTTTTTCTCTTTGAGAGCATTGAGACTGTATTTCTCCTCAAATCCCAACCAGAGCCCCCAAACCAAACCAAAATAAAATCAACAGACTAACAAGCTAACCAACCAAGTAAAAATTCAAAAGCCACAAAGAAACAAAATCCCACAAAAATATACTTGGCCACTCTCACCTGATAGTCTCACTTTTTGGAGAAAATAGATGTACGCAGACAGATGGCAGCCACCTGCACCACGAAATACTTCTCGTATATCAAGTTAGCTCTGTCTGTTATTCAGTATGTTGTTGTCGTTCGTGGTATTCTGGAGAAATGACTTTGATCCCTTGTATGGCTAAACCCTCCACTTATGCCTGGGATTCTAATAAATACTCTGCCCATCTCAAGAACTTTGCTCTTGCAGTTATCCCTTCCTGGAATTATCCCTTAATATTCATCATCTGTTTATATTGGATTTTCCCTATAGACATACAATCCAGCTTCAATATAATCATCTGGGGGGAGTGTGGTGGGGGTGAACCTATCCTGAATCCATATTCCCTTTATTATTTTTAAAAAATACTTTTTTATTTTGAGAGACAGGGGAAGGGAGGGAGAAAGAGAGGGAGAGAAACATGAATGTGTGGTTGCCTCTTGTGTGGCAACCTGTTGGGGACCTGGCCCGCAAACCAGACATGTGCCCTGACTGAGAATTGAACCAATGACCCTTTGGTTCCCAGGCCAGTACTCAGTCCACTGAGCCACACCAGCCAGGGCCCATATTCCCTTTACTCTAACATACAGTTCTCTCCCCTCCCCGAAGTCCTATCATCATTACCTCTAAAATTGTCTTAAATCTTACCACTTCTAACCTTTACTACTACTACATTTCTAATTCAGGTCATTATCATTTCTTGCTTGCAGTGCTACAGTGGCTTTATAACCAGTCTATTTTTAAGGTATAAATCAGGTCTGTGTCCCTTCTGCGTAAACTTTTGAATGGCTTCTTATTGTAATCAGAGTAAAATCTTAATTCTTAACCCAACACTCTGGCTATGCCATTTCTCTAATTTTATCTCCTTCCACTCTTCTTTTTTCATTTTTTTGCTCTAGCCATACTCACCATTGTTTCGTCCTATAAATAAATTTAAATTCTCTGAACCTCAGTTTCCTAATTTATAAAATGGAAACAAATATTTGTTTTGGCAGAACTATTGCCAAGTATTGAACAAAACTACATGTAAAAGCATGCTAAGTAAACTACATGTAAAAAAATGCTAAGTGTTATACTCATGTGGTTTGATGGTACTAATTTTTCTTCAATTCTATTTTAAAATTTTTCTTGGCTTAGTTATAGGTTAAGACCTTATATAATATTGAGTTCAAGTAGCGGTAGCAGATATTTTTGTCTAGTTTCTGATTAACCATCAAGTAAGATATTTGATGTGGTTTTAGAAAATATTGTTACTTTTAAAAATCAGATTAAGGAAATTAAGTTTATAGTATTGTTTCCAGTTATATTTCATACTATAGTAGCTTCTGGGAGAACACTAAGAAGTTTAAAACAAATACGCTCTTTGGCCTCATGGAACTAACAGAATAGTGTTAAACCTCACTGTAAAAGAGTCCTTGGAAACACTTTTCTAAGGAAATCAATTGTGTGAATTTTTTTATTAAACAAATTTTTATATCACTATATGTTGAGTTTGCCATATATGCTTTTTTCCTCTCTCCTTCAAATGTGTATTTAGCTAACAAATAGGTACATCAGGGTATGGTTATTATTTAAGAGGATTTTTGCTTTAAGAATTTATTTTAGGGCCCTGGCCAGTGTGGCTCAGTTGGTTGGGGTGTTATTCTGTAACTGAAAGGTTGCAGGTTTGATTTCTGTCAGGACATATACCTAGATTGTGGATTTGATCCCTGGTCTTGGGGGGTGTATGGCAGGCATCTGATCAGTGTTTTTCTCTCACATTGATGTTTCTCTCTGTCTTCCTCTCTTTTTTCCCTCTCTAAAAGCAATGGAAAAAAAAAAATGTCCTCAGGTAGGATTAAAAATAAAATAAAATAAAAATTTATTTTAGGAATCCTTCCACTTAAAAATTTTTACTAATTAATTTGAATAAAGTGTTGCATGTACATTTAAAATAGACTTCATAAAAGATTATCTTGTAGTCTTACACATTTGGGGTTTTTTTTTTGCCTAAGTCAGGCCATATAACCTGAAGCTATTTGTCATGTCCTTGCTTTTTGTTCTCTATTACTTTCGTTTCCTTTGTTTTACAAGTTGGACCTAATATATATTAAATTAAGGGTTGGAAAACTACAGCCTGTGAGCCAGGTCCTGCCCACCACCTTGTATTGCTCATAATCTAGGGATGATTTTACATTTTTAAATCATTGAGAAAAATTAAAAAGAATAATATTTTGTGACATGTTAAATTTTAATGGAATTCAAATTTCTGTTTTTATTGGAACACAGCGTGCCCCTTCATTTATGTGTTGTGTATAGCTGCTTTTATCCTATGATGGCAGAATCGAGTAATTGTGACAGATTGTATGTGGTATTCTCACTACTTCCGACTGTTGGCAGCATGCATGACAAATCACAGTGATATAGTTAAAATTTGACAGCATTCAAGTGCCAACTGTATTTCTGTATTGCGACAATTTTATTTTTTGTTACCAGTGCACACTCATCATGTAAAAACAAGAAAAGAAAATTGGACTTTGAATATTACACTTTTAGGGCACAATGGAGTATAGATTTTATTAACAAAATACAAAGCATCATGTTTATTATGCAATGACATTATAGCTCTGCTAAAAGAATATAAATACACTTTGACATCATTAAGTACTTATCATGATATTCCCAACTCACAGAAAAGCAATGGTCAAAAAATTAGAACATTTAAAATGGAATATCTCATAGCAAAATTTTTTCATAAAAATAAAAAGTGAAAATGGAACTTCAATAAAAATATGTTTCTGAGTGGCTTATTTGTGAAGCAAAGAAAGCCACTTACCAACAGTGAATTAATTAAATTGCATTTGATTGCTGCGCTGAAGAAATGTGTTCAGAGAAAATATATTTGTTTGACTAATAATCTTTGGCAAGAACAGTTGCTTGAAGAATTGAGAACATTGGAAGCCACATAGTCAATTTAAAAACAAGGCAAATGATTTCATGAGTTGACAGATGTTACAGATACCACTCAATTTATTTGAGGATTCAATACTGAGCTTCAGGTGACTGAAGAATTAGCCTCTGTGAAAAGTCTTGTGTAGAACAACTCCAGGTGGAAAAATATTTCAAATTAAAAAAAACACTAGTTCAGTGCAAATTGAAGTGGAATCTGCTAAGATGTAACTGTTGGTAGTAAAAATATGTGTGAAGCATAAAAAGGCTTAGTTGGATTAATTTACAAAGCTTGTGAAACTCTCAGAGGTGTCCAGCCTGTGGCCTGCGGGCTACATGCAGCCCAGGATGGTTGGGAATGCGGCCCAACACAAAATCGTAAATTTACTTAAAATGTTATAAGATTTTTTTTTGTGATTACGTGTCACAATGTATTTAATGAGTGGCCCAAGACAACTCTTCTTCCAGTGTGGTGCAGAGACACCAAAAGGTTCGACGCCTCTGCAAGGTGTTTAAATTCTATAGTTATTCACTGTGTTATTAAACAGCAGGTACTTTGCAGAGCATATTTGAATTTACGTGTTATTGAACTAGTATTGTCAATGGGGAGTTTCTTTTGCTCTTATAGACTTAACCATCATCAGTTACGTGAACTTTTATCAGAAGTGATATTTTGAACTTGGAGCCCATACTGAAGTTTTTCTGAGAAGAAACACCTTCAACCACTGTCTGTGACTGAACACTGACTGGCTTTGGAAATTAGCTTTTGCTGCAAACTTCATAGTGGTTATTAATAAATTTTAACCTAAAATTGCAAGACAGAACAATCCTATATGTGAAATCTGTACAGCCATAAAGTCATTTAGAAAACAAATAACATCATAATGAAAAAATAATAAAAAAAATGCTATGAGAGGTTAAAACAAGAAGCAAGATCTTCATTCAACAAAATTTGTAGCAGATACATTACTTGAGCTCCAACTACAGCTTAGGCAGTTCTCTCCAGAGCTCCCACAAGTGTAAAGGAAATTTCTGTATTTCAAAATCCATTTACCTGTACAGTTGAGGGGCTTCCACTAATCTTAATTAGAAGTGATCAATTTTCCATGTAATGAAATGATAAAAAGCAAATATCAAGAGGACAAGCTAAAGAATTCTATAAATGCCTCCTAAACAATAAACTTGCTCAATAAAAATCATTTGCTTTTAGTATTTAGCAGTATCTATCTGTGTAGAAAAACATTTTCAAAAATCAAGTGCGTAAAATCTCATTACAGATCAACATTAATAGATTAAAATTTGTAATCAGTTGGATGATAGGAAACACTAACTTTGAACTTCAACCAAGTGAAATTTTATTCCACCTCCCCCACCCCCAAAATGATTCCATTCTTTTAATTAGTAAATCCATGTTACAAAAGATTGAACTCAATTATTATATTTGAATTCTGTCAAAAAGTTTGTGGAAATTTCTCTTTTGCTTTACAAATTACCTACTTGATTTTGATTTTGCCTTTTGGTCCATGGAGGCTAAAATATTTACAGTCCGACTTTTTACTGAGAAAGCTTGTTGACCTCTGGATTAAAAGTTAGATATTTGGCTTTGTCTTACCTAAATAAGATGACTGTTTAAAGATATCAGCAGATTTCCCCCCATTTATTAATAAGTCTGCTAGCTTATTAAAGGCTCCTTATATTTTGAAAAAAATTTTTATATTAAAGTTCTGTTCTCTATAAGTTTCGTATTTTTTTGGATTTTTACACATATAATATACTTGGAATTGGATATTCAAATGTTTGCTATCCCACAACTTCAATGAAAAGATTTTATTTATAAATTTAATTAAAAATTAACAATTATTTAAATTCTCTGTGATAAAATGTTTAAATCAACTTATAACTCTTTTTTACAGCTGGAGTAGTATTCCTATTTGTATTAGTTCAATATTTTTATAAAAAAACTAGAGACCTAAAATACATTTGTAACATTGACATTCATAAATTACATTTTTTTGAATTGATTCTTCACCATGATAACCTAAATAAGTATAAAAAACTTAGAAAAGTTTAATTTTGAAAAGTGATTAGTATTCCCTTGTTTTCCAAGTTCCTCCTCAGATATAATACTATAGATTTTCAGAAGATTTTTATTTTATTAGTGCTCCAATATCTTGAAGGTTGACTAACTTAATAAAATATGTTATGCACTTATTTCCTTAAAAACAAAGAGAACATTTTTATTACCAAAGTATAAAAGATTTGGTACTAATTTTGTAAATTTGGGTGGGATGTTGAAAGGAAGAAGAAATAGTAGTAATGTTTTTGAAAACATTTAAGATATATATATTTTTTAAATTTGGAAAGGTATCGTAGTCTATGTTAAGGCAACTTTTTTTCCCTGCGTAGCTTGTAATATATAATATAGGCAAAAATATGAAATATATAGATTGAGATAATTTTTATCTGTACAGATCTGTGAGAAATATTAAAATAAAGTTTTCTTACATTTGCTTAATATGAATATCATTTGACATTTTTTTTATATCTAAGTTATCTTAATATCTGATTTATCTTTGTTTAAATCTTGTTTTCTAGATGAAGCATTGGATGATTTAAAATCCCAGAAGAAAAAAATAGTAAGTTAACTTTTATTTAAAATTAATCTATGTACAACTAATAAATTAAGACCTGAATAGTGTTTTATGTTGTAAGTAATGACTCTCTTGAAACAAATATGCTTTTAGATCACATTTTAATGATGAAGCTAAATTATGAATATTTTTGCTAGTTAATGATTGACAGGAAAAGGTAGTTCAATGGATTTTTGAGATCCTGAGAATCTATGTCACTTGGAAGCTGAGAAGTAAGTAAATAAATTATGCTGGAGGACTGAATAAGACAGAGGGATAAAAAGGTGGATGTCCAGATTGATTATTAATTAGGACCAAAATAAGGACAGAACACTTACATATGTCAGTTATCAGGTTTTCTTGACATGATAAAGCTAGTAGAGTGGGAATCAAGAAGATAGGTTGTAAAAGACAAATTTAACATGAAAAGGCTGAAGAAAGGGGGGAAGAGAATTTTTTTCTTTTTTTCTTTTTCATTTTCTATCAGCAACTCTGGTTACATGGGTAACTATTGTGGAGTCAGTTAAATGCATTCTTTGGGTATGTTGGAAAAAGGGCCACAAGTAAGAGAAAGGGCCATAGATATTTAGAAGTTGATAGCCTCTAATAAATGAATTGAACTTGTTTTTTGACTTGAATTTACATGTACTTTTCTTGTTGTTTTTTGAAGTATGAAAATTATAATTGATATAGCACTGTCATGTTATATGGAAACTTATTTAATTAAATTTAACAGATACAAATGATCAATGTATTTTAGTCTAATATGTAATATGTAACAATTATTTTATGAAACCAATAAATTATTACAATAAGATCAATTTTAAAAATAGTTCTGTGGGAGTTCTGGTCAAGATGCAGGTGCAGGTAAAGATGGGTTGCCTCTTCACACAACCACACAACCACAACAGAATTACAGCTAAACTACAGAACAACTGTCATTCAGGACCATCAGAAAACTGAGCTGTATGGAAGTCCAACAACTAAAGAATTAAAGAAACCACATTCTGATGATGGGTAGGAGGGATGGAGGGACTCAGACATGGAGATGTGGAACATGGAAGCTGGTCCCAAAGCCATGTGTGGTGGATATAAAATGGACGGATATCTCAGGAGCGAGGGATCCCAGCCCCACACCAAACTACCTAGCCTATGATTCCAGTGCCAGAAAAATAAGTGCCCACAACTTCTGGCTTAAAAACCAGTGGGGGTTGGGTTGGCAGAAGAAACTGTAAGGTTCTCAGGTGTCTCCTCTTGGAGGGCCCCACGCATGGACTTACTCAGACCCACTCCCTCTTCTGGGCTCCAGCACTAGGGCAGTATGTTGAAGGTACCAGTGTCATATGGGGAGGAACTGAAGTATCTGGCATCAGAGTGAGAGCTGGTGGACAGCTTCCTCCTGGACAGAACTGCAGACAGTGGCCATTGTTACTTTTCTGAGCCCTCCCCCACACAGAGCCACAGTGTCTGGGCACCATTTCTTGAGTGTCCATCAACCTGGCTCACACAATTAGCCCCACCCTGATTATTACTTAAGGCTCTGCCCCATCCAAGTTATGGGTCCACCCACTGTTAAGAGTGTTTTTCCATATAAATGGCTGAGCTAGGCATCTTCCTAAATCCGCTCAAACATGCAACAGTTGAGCCCAGCCCTGGTGCCTCTCGCTGAGTGGCCCCAGGCTTGGCACTAGCAGCAGCCATATGCAGATCGCTTTATAGTTTACACCCAAGGGCCCCAGACAGAACACAGGTGGTGGCTGACTTTGGGAAACCTCAGAACCTGCACACCCAGTGGACAATTACAGACCACATTGGTATACCACAACCCAACCACCTCCACAAGCTATGGAAGGAGGTAGCTGCTGGCCCAGCCATCACAGCTGGTTGCCTACCAGCCGTCTGGCCTGGGTAAATCCCTGGGTAAATTGACCTGCTGAGAGCACTTAAGTCTCAACTACAAGAGAAGGGTGTACTCAGCCCACACAGAAGCTTATCTTGAGTACCCAGCTTGGGGGATAGGGAGGCTGCACCACTGGTCCCTACAGGATACCTACTACATTAGGCCACACTACCAAGACACAGAGTCAAAGCAGCTCTGTCTAATACATAGAAACAAACACAGGGAGGCTGCAGAAATGAGGAGACAAAGAAATATGGCCCAAATGAAAGAACAGATCAAAACTTTAGGAAAAGAGCTAAATGAAGTGAAGATAAACAATCTTATCAGATGCAGAGTTCAAAACACTGCTTATTAGGATGCTCAAGGAACTCATTGGGTACTTCAACAGCATAAAAAAATACCCAGGCAGAAATGAAGGTTACACTAAGCGAAATAAAGAAAAGTTTATAGAGAACCAACAGTGGAGTGGATGAAGCTGAGAATCAGATCAGTGATTTGGAACATAAGAAAGGAAAAACATTCAATCAGAACAGCAAGAAGAAGAAGAAGGAAGCATCTCCCCCCCCCCCGCAACCCCCCCCCCCCGCAAACAACAACAGCAACAACAACAAAAAACACCTGGCAAAAAACACAGATAGGCTAAGGAGCCTCTGGGACAGCTTCAAGTGTTTGAACATTCACATCATAAGGGTGCCAGAAGGAGAAGAGAAAGAGCAAGAAATTGGAAAGCTATTTGAAAGAAAAATAAAAGAAAACCTCCCTAAGTTGGTGAAGGAAATAGACATACAAGTCCAGAAAGCACAGATGCTAAGAGGATCACACCAGGAAACAACATAATTAAAATGCAAAAGATTGAAGAGAAAGAGAGAATCTTAAAAGCAGCAAGAGAAAAGCAGATAATTACCTACAAAGGAGTTCCCATAAGGCTGTCAACTGATTCCTCAAAAGAAACTTTGCAGGCTAGAAGGGACTGGCAAGAAGTATTCAAAGTGATGAAAAGCAAGGACCTGTAACCTATATTATTCTATCCAGCCGAGCTATCACTTAGAATGGAAGGGCAGATAAAGTGCTTCCCAGACAAGGTAAAGCCAAAGGAGTTCATCTTCACGAAGCCATTATTATATGAAATGTTAAAGGGACTTATTTAAGAAAAAGAAGATCAAGACTATGAACATTAAAATGGCAATAAATTCACAACTCTCAACAACTGAATCTACAAAACAAATTAAGCACACAAGCACAACAGAAACAGAATCACAGATACGGAGATCATTTGGAGGATTATAAGCCATGATGGGGAAGGGGGAGAAGGGGGAGAAGGTGCAGGGATTGAGAAGTACACGTTGGTAGGTACAGAATAGACCAGGAGGATGTTAAGAACAGTACAGGAAATGCAGTAGCAAAAGAACTTACATGCATGGCCCATGGACATGAACAAAGGAGGAGGGATCACCAGAGGGAGAGGGTTGGTGCCGGGTGGAGAGCCAGCAAAGGGGGAAAAATTGGGACAACTGTAATAGCATAATCAATAAAAGAAAAAAAGTTACTTGTTGAATATTACTTGGCAATAAAAAAGAATGAATTGTTGAAACATGCTATAGTTGGGATGAATCTCCAGGGAAATATGCTGAGTGCAGAAAGCTAATCAATTGCAAAAGGATACATACTGGTTGGTTTCTTTATATACCATTTCTGAAATGACAAAATTATAGAAATGGAGAACAGATTCGTGGTACTATGGGTTAGAGGTGAATAGGGAGGGCATGGGAGAAGGGGTATAAAAGGGCAATGAGTAGAATTTTTGTGGTCACAGAGTTCTTTATTTTGGCTCTGTGGAGGATTTCATAGAACCAAAGACACTCGTGTACAAGTAAAACTGGGGAAAGCTGAATAAAACCAGTGAATTGTATCAATGTCAATATCTTGGTTTTGATATTGTACTATAGCTTTGCAAGATGTTATTGTTGAGAGAAACTGGCTCCATGAAACTGTCTCTTATTCCTTATAAGTGCATTCAAATTTATAATGACCTCAAAATAAAGAGTTTAATTTGAAAAAAAAATAGGTCTGTGAATTGGTAATGAAAGACATCGGTCTTGAGAGTTTTAAGTATTTGAAAAATAAAGGAACTTTAATTCTGAAAGGATTCCTTATCTGTTTTGTTTAATGTTTTCTTCAGTGGTCTGTGAGGTATTTATCAAAATTGCATTAATGTTTTTGATGGCCCTAAATTGAAACATAGAACTATTTTCATTATGTTGTATTTTATTTCTGATATTCTGTACACAATGGAGCAGCCAAAATTCAAATTAAGGAAACACTTCATTTATATGTGGAATCTAAAGAACAATATAAACACACAAATAAAACAGAAACAGACTCATAGATACAGAGAACAGATTGATGTTTGCTAGAGGAGAGGAGGGTTAGGGGACTGGGTGAGGAAGGTAAAAGGATTGAGAAGTACAGATGGGTAGTTACAAATTAATCACAGGGATATAGAGTGCAGCCGAGGGAACATAGTCAATAATATTGTAATAACTACGTGTGGTGCCAGATGGATATTGGAAATATCAGGGGCAACACTAAATAATGTGATTATCTAACCACTATGCTGTACACCTGAAACTAATACAGAATAATGTTAAATGTAAACTGTAACTGGAAAAAAAAAAAGTGAGGAAATACTGAGGGGCCTCAGTAATAAAGAATTTGTGATATGATTGGTTTGATTTACTATGTTAAAAAAAAGAGCTCGTAGTGGTGGTCAGAGCCAAGCCCTACATGTACCAAAATGGAGACAATATTGATTAAAGTAGAAAAGACAAGGAGAAGGACAAAAGAAAAAAGAAGAAAATAAAATATCCCAAGTGATAAGGAACCATCCCAATGTCAGTGTCATGACATTACCAGAAAACAGAATCTTGGAGAAGGTATGATTGTGGAAAAACTCTCAACAGAGTAGCAGAAGTAGACTTGGAAAATTCTGTGGAAGGTAAAGCAAACTATTGATTACTTCTTTAATAGCCCCTGAAGGACTCACCACGTAAAAGATACTTCCATCTAGGCCTGACAGTTGGGAAATTCTGTTCTGGGTTCAGTAGTT